GCGGGGAAGGGGGTGGGGGTGGGCAGAGGGGGCGCAGGGGTGTGGGATGGGAGAGGGCTAGGGTGGCCATCACAGAGGACAGTCCGGTTTTCTGCTACAGGCAGTCCTCGACTTACAACGTTTCGCGTTACAATGTTTATAAATTGACACCTGGTTTCAACTTTCTGACGTCAGTTCCGACTTTACAATGCTTGATCCGATGTGACACCACGCCAGCGAACAAGCTGGCTGCGTTGTTCATCTCCCTGGAGAACATCCGTCCAAACTTCCTTGGTCGCTTTCTTTAAGAAAGCAGATAAGACTCCAGAAAAACCGGCAGCCAGGATGCCTGAGAAGACTCCAGCCAAGAGCCCTTCACAAAGTCCAACCAAGAGCCCTTCAAAACGTCCAGCGAGGTCTCCTCAAAGAAGTCCTTCCAAATCAATAGGATTGCTATTTACAATATAAATACATTAATGTAGCTATATTATACTCATCTATAATTGATCAAGTACAAAATTCTGGGGTATTTTTCATGACAACAGGGTATCGGGCCTTGGTTCAGGAACCAATCCCTCATTTATAACATTGCTTCTTTTGAGAAAATGGTTACAAGGGTTTGACTGAAGAGGCGGTTTTCAGGAACCGATTGTGTCTTAAGTTCCAGGATTCCTGTCCCCTGTCCTCTTGTGACCCCAAACCCGATGCCTTTCTGTCCTCTCTTCAAGAGAAAAATAGAGGACATAAAGGTGCCAGGTTTCATATCAACAGAGGACACCATGGAGGGGGCGCAGGCGATGCAGGGAGGGGGTACCTGCTCCCCCTCAGACATGCCGGGTCCATCCCTCAGGTCCGGGCCGCCTGCGGCGTCTCCCCGGGGGCGCCAGGCCCACGCTCGGCGTCGGTGGGTCGCGACACCTCAGTCCCCTGGGGTTTCAGAGCGGGGTGAGCAGGCCGCGGCTGGCCTGAGATAGGCAGAGACAAAAGAAGCGTCTCAGGCCAAACCCAAGCTCCGGGTGGTGCAGGCCCCGGCCCGACGCACTGCTTGGCCCGCCTGCAGGCGCGGGGAGCAGGGCAGTGAAAGGACGGGTCGTCCAGCCGGGTGGACCCTGCCCGGCAGTCACCTGACCGCACCTGCCGGCAGGGGAGGGGGCGGGGCCAGGCGCGGGGCCGCCCCTCACGTCGGGGCGGGGCGGGGCGGTGGC